AAGCTGACCAATGGAAAATGACCTGGAGGTGTTGGTCAATAGCCAGCTGAACATGAGCCATCAGTGTGCCCAGATGGCCAAGAAGGCCATGTATCAGAAATAGTATGGCATGGCCAGCAGGACCAGGGAAGTAATTGTCCCTCTCTACTGGGCATTGGTGAGGCCACACCTCAAGTAGTGTCCAGTTCTGGACCCCTCACTACAGGAAGGACACTGAGGTTCTGGAACAAGTCCACAGAAGGACAAGGAAGCTGGTGAAGGATCTAGAGAGTAAGTCATAAGAGGAGTGGCTGAGGGAGTAGGGGTTGTTTTGCCTGGAGAAAAGGAGGCTCAGGGGTGATCTTATCACTGTCTACAACTACCTGAAAGGAGGTTGTGGTGAGGTGGAGCTTGGCCTCTACTCCCAGGCAACTAGCAACAGGATGAGAGGACAGACTCAAGCTGCACCAGAGGAGGTTTAGGCTGGACATCAGGAGGAATTTATTCACAAAAAAAGTTTGGTAAACATTGGAATGGACTGCCCAGGGAGGCGATGGAGTCACCATCCTTGGAGGTTTTTTTTAAAAAAAATGGATGTGACACTTAGTGCTATGGTGTAGTTGACAAGGTGGTGATTAGTTAAACGTTGGACTCAATCTTAGAGGTATTTTCCAATCTAAATGTTTCTGTGATTCTGTAATAATATCGATAACACACAGATGTTTTGGTTTTTCCCAAGTAGAGCTTACCCTAATCAAAAACTTTTCAGTATCGCATGCTCTGCTAGTGAGGTGCACAAAAAGCTGGGAGGGAGCATGACAGGGACAGGAGACCTGAACTGGCCAAATGGATATTCCACTCCATAGAACGTCATGCCCAGGATATAAACTGGGGGGAGTTAGCTGGAAGTGATGAATCACTGCTCAGGGACAGGCTAGACATCAGTCAGCAGGTGGAGAGCACTTGTATTTCTTGGGTTTTTTTTTTTTTCTCTCTCTCCTTTTAATTACAATTATTATTATTGTTACTATCATAATTAACAATATTAGTATTATTATATTTTAATTTGCTTCAATTTTTAAACTGTTCTTATCTCAACCCACAAGTTTTACTTTTTTCTGATTTCCCATGCAGCTAGTGGGGGAGAGAGCATCTGTGTGGTATTTATTTGCCAGCTGGGGTTAAACCACAATACCATCTAAGTGGTCAGAATATTTTGGGGGACTGTATCAAAGGCCTTACATAAGTCCAGGTAGATGACATCTGTAGCTCTTCCCTTTTCCACCGATGCAGTCACTCCATCGAACAAGGCCACTAGATTAGTCAGACACGATTTGTCCTTGGCGAAGCCATATTAGCTGTGCCTAATGTCCCCCCTGTCATCGATGTAGCTTCCAGGAGGATCTGCTCTGTTAAGGAAACTACCCGGTCTGACCATACACAAAACTCCTTGGAGGCATCAGCTCAGGCTGTTTCTGTGTTGCCACACAGTGAATAAATCGCTTTATGGAACGAGACATCTGAGATTGCTATGGAAAACCTGGGGTCAAACGGGTAAGGAAACCTGGTCTGACTGCATGTGAGTGGGGTGTGCAGGGGCTCCCTTCAGCTCACTGAAGCCATCGCTGAGAAGAAGCTTCGGTCCCAGCAGTTAAAATCTCTGATGTTTGGAGTGTGACTGCCACAGACTCCTGAATGGTAAGACTGGGAAGTTTCCTTTGCATGCTCCATGATCTTACAGGAAACAGGTGAGGCCAACTGGTCAGTAGTTCCCAGAATCCTTGTTTTTACACTTTTTAAAAATGGGTTCAATGTTTCCCTTTTTCCAGTCACTGGTGATGCAGTCTGACTGGTATGACTTCTTAAATGTAATGGAGAATGGCTTGTGAATTACATCAATTCTTTCAGGACCCTGGCATGCATCTTGTTGGGTCATGGAATCATAGAACTATTTAGGTTGCAAATGACCTCTAAGATCGTTGATTCCAACCATTAACCTAACACTGCCAAGTCCACCATTGAACCATGTTCCTAAGTGCCACAGCTACGTCTTTTAAATACCTCCAGGGATGGTGACTCTAATGCTTGACAACCCTTTCAGTGAAGAAATTTTTCCTAATATCTACTCTAAACCTCTCCTGGTGCATCATGAGGCCATTTCCTCTTGTCCTATCACTTGTTACTAGGGAGTAGAGACCCCCACCTTGCTGAAAGCTCCTTTCAGGTAGTTGTAAAGAGACATAAGGTCTCCTCTGAGCCTCCTTTTCCCCACACTCCAGCTCCCTCAGCCACTCCTCATAAGACTTGTGCTCCAGACCCTTGACCAACTTCGTTGCCTGTTTTTGGACACGGTCCAGCACCTAAATATCTTCCTTGAAGTGAGGGGCCCAGAAGTGAACACAATATGAGGTGCAGCCTCACCAGTGCCAAATGCAGGGGAGCAATCACTTCCCTGGTCCTACTGGCCCCACTATTTCTGACACAAGCTAGGATGTCTTTGGCCTTCTTGATCAACTAGGCACACTGCTGGCTCATATTCTCCCCACATAAACTCATGACATCTTTGTAGTCCTACTGAGTTTCCTGTCCCTCCTTCCAAAGGTCATAAACTCTCCTTTATTTTCCCCGAGTTCTAGCCAAAGTTCTCTGTTCAGCCAGGCTGGTCATTTTCCCCGCAGGTTCATCTTTCAACATGTGGGGACAGCCTGCTCTTGCACCTTTAGAATTTCATTCTTGAAGAATGTCCAGTCTTCCTGGACTTCTTAGCCCTTCAGGACTGCCTCCCAAAAGACTCTCTCAACCAGTCTCCTAAACAGGCCAGTCTGCTCTCTGCAAGTCCAAGGTAGCATTTCTGTTGTCACTTCTCCTTACTTGTTTGAGAATCAAAAACTGTCATTACATGATCTCTTTGCCTAAGATTTCACCCAGCAGTCCATTACTGTTCACATATAACAGGTCCAGTGGGGCACCTTCCTGAGTTGGCTCACCATCTGTGTCAGGAAGTTCTCTTGCACACACTCCAGGAGCCTCCTAGACTGTTTCCTCTCTCCTGTGTGGTATTTTCAGCAGGCATCTGATAAATTGGTCTCCCACAAGAACAAGGGCTAGTGATTATTAAGACTTCTTCCAGCTGTTTATAGAATATTTCATCGGCCTCTTCATCCTGGTTGAGTGGTCTATAACAGACTCCCACCATATCTGTCCTGTTGGCTTTGCCCCTGATTCTTGAGTAAACACTCAACCCTATAGACACCATCATTAAGCTCCAGACAGTTGAGTCAGTCCCTAACATACAGGGCTACCCTACCATCTCTCCCTCCTTGCCTGTCCCTTCTGAAGAGTTTATAGCCATCCATTGCAGCACTCCAGTCATGTGAGTCATCCCACCATGTTTCTGTGATGGTAACTGTGTCATTGTTTTCCTGCTGCACAATGGCTTCCAGCTCCTCCTGTCATCCCATGGACTGATGTATGCTCAGGTTCCTCAGGTGGTCACAAACCTGATCTTCTCCCATGATGGGAGTGACTTCTTTCTCCCAGTCCCTACCTTGAATTTCAGGGTCTTGAAAGATGTGGGAGGAGAGATTACCGGTGTCAGGGTGGTCCTCCAGGAGGATCAGAGCCTGTGAGTGTCATGCTTCCTGTAGCTGAAGTAAGAACACTTACTTCATCAACAGGCTCCCCTTGATTGGGCAGCCAGTAGCAAACACCAACCACGAGGTTTCCTTTGTTGGCTTTTCCCTTATTTTTACCCAAAAGGCCTCAACCCATTCAGCACTTGTTTTCAAAGACAGCTCTCTCCAGTCAAGTTTTTTTTACACAGAGGGCAACACCTCCACCCCTTCTTCCTTGCCTGTGCTTTCTGAACAGCTTATAGCCATTGATTTAAGTGTTTCAGTTGTGCAATTTGTCCCATTGTTTCAGTGATGGTATTAAATCATACCTTTCCAGGTGCAGAGAGGCTTCCATCTTTTCCTGTCTGTTATCCATCCTGCATGCATTGCTATAGAGGCACTTCAGTGGACCTATAAACCTTGTCACCATTTTAGAGGAACACAATTCCTTTGTGGCATTTTACAGGTGTCTCCCTGTTGGTTCCTAATATTTCTTTTATAATTTCTTTTAATATCATATATTAGATATTTTATATATACATGTAATTATAATTACTTTTCAAGATTTAACACAAGACACAGAACATGCAATAAATGTTTTTTAAAATAATCTATCCGTCCTGGAAAACAATTTAAAAATCATTTACTACCAAAAGCAGCCATAAAAAAGTACCATGAATGCTATAAAAGAATGCTTTATTCCTGATAATGGTCAGTTTGCCATAATATTAAAATCAATCGATGAGTCCTTCATACTGGAAATCAAAAATAAACTATAATAGACTGGAACAATAAACAAGTCTTAAGATGTTTGATAGCATTATGTTGGTTAAATAGGTATCAAAACTGATAAGGTTTTAGCAGCCGCTGATAATACATTAATGTTAAACTAACCAAAAACAAAATTACAAAGCATATACATTTTACTTTTTTTAACAACTAGAACTTATTATATATATGTCTTAAACTAAAACCTACTGAAGTCAACAGAAAAACTGTCTTGTCATTATTGGACTCAGGCTCAGGGCCATAGTGCATTCACAGCTGTCAGTTAGACTAGAACTAGTATATAAAAAAAAGCCATTTTTATCTTTAATAAAAACTTAGAATTTGCAGTTAAAAAAGGCATAATTCATAATAAAATATATTCTTAAAAATTCTATAGGCTTTCCTAAATACAATTAAATATCAACTCTGCTTTTCTTTAAATACAATGCTTGCATCAACTCCAGTGCACCTTTCTAGTCAACAGAGTTAAGGAAAGATCACACACACACACACACACACACACACACAGCATTTAGATCCTTCAAAATCATTCCCAAAAGTTTCCTGAGGCACAAAAATTTCACCACATAAAACAAAACAAAAGACAGTCTTATGAAATGTTATCTGTGTTTAACTTACTAGGAATAGGTCTAAGGACATCAGGAATGAGAATCTCCACCAAAGCCTGGTACATCACATGGTCACAGTTCCCCATCCATTTCAGAATAGACTCATTTTTGCACAGAGTAATTAGTTTTCCTTTTGGAAGTCGACTTTCTATTTCACTCAGATTGCTGTTGTGAATAAATGTAACAAATGGAAATGCATTTGCATACAGATAAGAAAAGTACAATGCATTTTGAAATAGATTATTTAATGAAAACTTTATAGATGTCTCTGTTACATCCAATTGAAACTCTAACTTCATAATATGAAACTGGGGGGAAAAATGGCCTCCAAAGTTCTGCTCCAGACCATAAATAATGCAGAGATATGATAAAAATGGTCCTTGCAATTTAAACAGATCAGACAACATATTGTGAAAAGATACTTTGAATTTAGTAATCCAAAGGAAAAAATAGAAGATGCATACAATCATTTCAAGGCTGCAGTTTGACATATACCAACACCCTATATATCAAATATCTGGCAACAGAAATTTAACCTGAAAAACTATTGATATCAGAAAAAGTTCTTAGCCTATATGTAAAACTAAGTCTTCTGTTGATTTGACTCCTGCTGTTATATCATGATGGTGAACAGTAAGCAAACATACATTTACTGACCTCAGTTCAATAATAGCTGCATCGTCAGCTGGAGCAGAGGGAGAATAGCGCCAGAAAGTTTGCCACAATTTTTCTATCAGGCTAAACTGAAGATTCACAATAACATCCACTATTGCCTAAAGAAATATAAAATCAGTACACATAGTCTTCCAAGTCATTCTCCCCACAATTCTTTCCAGGGGTATAGCTGCCCCTGGTCATTTTGCAGAAAAAAACATTAAAATGTATGCTGATAAATAAACATATAATATACTTTTTAATAACTTTGTAGCAAAAATTTTTCCCACTGTCTGGACTAGTGTAACCAGAAGCTAAGATCAGGTCAAGTGACTAAGATCAACCCTCCAAAAAAGAGCCTAAGCACATATATCACGTGAATTCACATAAATTGAATTTTTAACACTATTGAAAACACAAAGGAAACCTATTTCATTTATTTTATTACTTCATTACATGCTTTAAAGCATCTTCAACAATAATTTTAAAACACGTTATTCAATATAAAATGTGGCCTTAAGTTCTTAAGCAACCTGCTTCTTTAAAACTTGAAGAAATAATTGGTTATTCTGAATATACATTATCTAAAGTTTGTTTTATCTAAAATTCTCAAAAGCTACACATGATTACATTCCAGTATTGGTATTCTATTACATGTTAAATTTTTTCCTGTTAAGAGAGAAATTTCAGGAGTCTTTTTGCAAATGTCCTTTCTGAATAAGCAAAATACTTGAGGATCATATAAGATACGAGTAGCCTGGCTGTAATCTGTTTTGTGTCAGTCACCCTGTTGTACTGATTCTCACTAGAAGACATGAATTTTCAAATAATGATTTCTGTGAAAAAGACACTTTTCTTACCTCACAGTGTTCTCGATAAAGACTTTGTAGTGATTTTATGTCCTCAAGGGTAGTACCATGGGGCAGAGAAGATATTTCAACTTCTCCAAACTCTGGAAGTACTCGAGATGCATCTGTTTCCATGAAAACATAACAGAAGAAAGATAATGCAGATGATGCCAATTACAGTTTGATCAGAAAACATTTAAGAATGGTGTAAAGAAATAAAGTCTATAAGGTCATAATGCCCAAATAGAAATGTCTTTCATACTTAATATGTTTTAAAGTTGCAATAAAATTGTGAGCAAACCAGCTAGCTATTTTTAAAACAAAATATGTTAAATTATTCTTTAGAGGTAGCAGATAAACATGATTACTTGTACATATTCTATCTGTATATAAAAAAAGACAAGACTAATTTTCAGAATATTCATGTCAGTATATAAGAGATTAATACAATGTAATAGTTTTATTTTGATCAACCAAAAAGCTTTTGCATTGACATGCATGTTAGGGTTTAGTAGACTCAGCAGCATACATTTACTTGACATTTAAAAGCCTTTCAACTTTAGCCAACATGTGTTTTTACTATTTCTCATAAGTATTTCCAACAGATATACTGGTATGGGGTGAAAAAATGCACTGTCAACTAGAGGGACAATGGAAAGGAAAATTCAAAAACCTGCTAACTATAGCCTAAGGTTCCCAATGATTTTGGTAACAGCAAGGTTGTGCCAAAAGATGAGATGCTTCAAAATCCCCAATATATGAATTCAAAACAAAGTGTAAAATTACTGCAATAACACATTTAATAAGCATTTTTACATTAGCAAATGTAAAAGCCAGGATGCCATTGGCCTTCTTGGCCACCCAGAGACACTGCCATCTAAAGTTCAGCTGGCTGTTGACCAGCACCCCCAGATCCTTTTCCAATGCTTTCCAGCCACTCTTCCTCCGGCCTCTAGCATTGCATGGGGTTGTTGTGACCCAAATACAGGACCCAACACTTCACCTTGTTGAACCTCATGTCATTGGTCTCAGCCGATCGATCCAGCCTGTCCAGATCCCTCTGCAGAGCCTTCCTACTCTCCAGCAGATCAACACTTCTGGCCAATTTGGGGTCATCTGCACAGTTACAGAGGCACATTCAATCCCCTCATCCAGATCACTGCTAAAGATATTAAACAGGACTGGCCTCAATACTGAGCCCGGGGAAATACCACTTGTGACCAGCCACCAACTGGATTTAACTTAATTCATCACCACTCTGGGCCTGGCTATCCAGTCAGTATTTTACCCAGCAAACAGTCTATCCATCCAAGCCATGAACAGCCCGTTCCTCTGGGAATGCTGTGGGACTCAGTGTCAAAGGTTTTACTGAGGTTTAGGTGGACAATATCCACAGCCTTTACTTTATCCACTAGGTAGGTCACCTTGTCATAGAAGAAGATCAGGTTATAGAATCATAGAATAGTTTGGGTTGGAAGGGACCTGAAAGACCATCTGCATCAGTTGTGTAACTTGTTCCATCATGTCTCAGTGATGGCAACTATGTCACAGTTTTCCTGCTGCACCATGGCTTCCAGTTCCTCCTGTTTGTTGTCCATGCTGAATGCACTGATGTAATACACTTAAGTTGTGTTATTGAGCCATTATCTTTTCCAGGGGAGAAGCTCTAATTTCTGCTTGACCATTCTCAGCTGCTTCTGTGGTTTCTAGCACATCAATAACCCATGCATCCTTGCTACTGCATGGATCTCCATCTCCTACCTCTATCGAGACTACAGACTGGAGGACCTCATTAGCACACCATCTGACAGTGGTGTGCCACCCCCAGGCTTACCTCCAGTGTTACTAATTTTATTCCCTTCAAATCTAGTTTAAAGCTCTCTCAGTGAGCCCTGCTAACTAATAAGGATCCTTTTCCCCCTTTGAGACAGGTATAACCCAGCTGTTGCCAGCAGGCTCAGTGTCATGTAAAACAATCTGTGATCCAAAAAAAAAAAAAAAAAACAAACAACCAAATTCTGCTGATTTTCCTGTTTCTACCTCCATCATTCCCTGCAACTGGCAGAATAGAGGAGAAAACTGTTTGCTCCAGATCCTTCAACCAGTCATCCCAAAGCCCTGAGGACTCTCTCTATTGTCCTCAGACTTATTTTTTTTGGACTCCACTGATGACCACCTGAAAAAAACCAGTAATGGATAATAATTAGAGGGCTGTTCCAGGCTACAGAGTTTCTTGGCAATGTCTCTTACCCAGGCCTCAGGGAGGCACCAGACTTCCCTATGGGTTCGTTCCAGTCAGCATATAAGTTCTTCTCAAAAAGGAGTCACCAATGACAATTGCTCTTTTTTTCTTGACTGAGGCAATTGTGATGCAGGGAGTAAACTTACCCTAGGCAACTCCTCCAACCTGGATGGACCTTTGTCCATATTGTAGTGTGCCCATGTTGTATTTGTGTTCAAGAGGCATCTGGATGTGGCCCTTGGGGATATGGTTTAAGGGTGATTATGGGGGTGCTGGGTTGATGGTTGGACTAGATGATCTTGGAGGTCTCTTCCAACATTGATGATTCTGGGCCTGGTCTTCAAGTTCTAGAGCCTCATACTTATTGTATTGCAGCTGGGAAGGTGAGGTAGGCCAGGAGGGGATTTGCCTGCTGCCTTGAGTAGACACCTGTTTACATTCCCTCACATCTCTTAGGTCCCCTCCTTCTGCCTGGTAGTGAGAGTGTAAGGGATCCTTTTCTTCTTGTGATGTGGCCAGCTAGTGCATTTGCCTCAGGAATGGTAGAGTGGCTCAACCATTCAGAGTCCCTGATACTTCTTTTCTACCTCCTCTCTTAGATCTGCCCCTGGGCTGAGCAGATAATCCACTTCACCACACCTCACACACCTGTAGTCTCTACTACCATCCAGTACCAGTGACAGGCTCTGGCATTCCCTGTAGCCCAAGACCTAGATGGCTGCATGTTTTCATGGCAGCTCTGTCTGTGTCACCACATCCTTTCTGACAAGGCCAGAAGACATAGCTTCCCTCCAAGTGGATACCATAGCTGAGCTCCTTCTGAGAAGGTAATGACCACCAACTGAGCTCTCCTCTTGAGCTGGTGGGTGACTGCATTCTACCTTCCTGAACTGCCACATCCCACCCTGTTTACCTACTTTGTGCCCTAGGAGATGCTTTTGTAGAGTTGTGTCAAAGACTGGAAAGATCAATGTCTGGAGACATTTTGGGATGCTTGGAATGTGTGTAGTAGGAGGTGAGTCCAGCCTTGCTCTGGTGAGGTGGTGACCTGGCCCCCATACCCCCCAGCCCTGCAATCTCTGTCAATCATAGCACACTGGAGGCAGCCCCCAGTGTTGCTTAACCCAGTCCCTGAGTGGCCAAGCAACTGGAACTCCCACCTGGGAGGAAGGCCCACAAAGGGCCAAGGGTTTAAGAAGGCTGAGCACAAGGCAAGCATGTTGTTCTTTAACCCTACCTTCATCTTGGAGTTTTCTATCTGTTACATTGCTGGAACATAGGAGGTGGTAGCTATATGACCCTGTTGCTATATATTTCCTGACTTTCTCCCTTTCTTCTTCTTCTAACTTTCTTCTCATGGAACGTAGCATCAAATGGGTTTAAAGGTTGCCAAGTTGAATGGGCTAAGACGATGTTGTGATAAGTGTTTTATGTTGTACTAAATCTTTTGCCAAAATTCCTTGATTTTCTATTTTTTGCCAGTAAACCTTTGTAGGATTTTTACCTCTTGAGAATATGTTTGGTATTTCTCCCTTGCAGCAAAGGAACCTCATTTTAGCCCCGTACATTAAGTGTCTGCGGTGTTACAGGGTGGGGAGTCGACCTCATCACTCCTGACCTCACCCACACTGAGTCAGAGCTGCCTCTGGGTCAGAGCTTCAGAGCTTCCTACTAGGAGGGGAAGGTGGGGTGCTGAGGCACCTCTCGGTGCTAATTTTGAGGTCTTGCCACTTCAGGAACTCTCTCCACAGTTCCTCGGCATGATCCTTGACTCCAGAGTACATCTGCCAGAGCAGTTTGTCTCAGAGTCTTCATGACACTTGCATTGCAATATATTTTGCATCTACAGTGCAAATAGATTTTGAACATTTTTTATATCTGCATGATGAATATGAAATACTGCAGAAGTCTTGCAATAAAGAACATATAGCTCCTATGAGTATCTTTTTGTTCTATTATCAGTGAGATGACAGTATAACATATTTTCATACCTAAAAACTGTTGATGATGTTGACTTTGGGCAATTATAGTTTGTTCAGCAGATGTGCCTGCCTGTTGACCACTTCCTGTGAAACCATCTGGAACTCCATCCACTTTCTGCACAGGCTTGTACCTACAAAATTATCAAATACAAAATCATCCTTTAGGATCACTTTTTTGTAAGTGACTGATTTCTGACTCTCAATATACAGTTTGGCTAGTTCACACAAAAGGAAAAAAGTAACATCAGAATAATTGTAGCAAGGAACTGCAGAACATTGGTGTTCTGGTTTGAAAACAAAACCAGTGAGAGACTCCAAGCCAGAAATACAATTTATTAGGAAAAATGAAAAAGAAAACAAAATACATGCAATAATACAAAAGAAAAACCACTGACAGAGTCAGAATACAACCTAACATCCTTTTTGGTCAGCATGTTGGTAGCAGTCCAAATTGGAATGGCTGCAGTCCTCCTGGAAATCCAGCAGAAAAGCCTGAGTCTGGTGTCCCAAAACCCCAGATTGCATTCAGTTAGGAATGCCTGGATCCTCCCTCTGGGCGGAGCATCTCACAATGGGATGTTATAGTTCTTATCAGTCATACAGTGACATTCAATAGCCCATTATCAGCAGATGTCTCCCCAGGGGGAGGACTGGTTGTCAAAGAGATAAGGAAAACTGCCCACTTAACAGAAGACAACTGCCATACAGATGGCAAATGGAATAGATTTTGCCTTGCAATCTGGGACATTATCCACCCCTTATTCTATTTCTATCTGTATCGCAATGAAACCTTACATATAGTTCTCACTTAAGACTAGGTTTCCCTGTGGTACACAATGGGTTTCCCCGTCCTTCTGCATTACCCACCAAGTGTAACCAGGTCCTTGAGCAAAAACAATCCCACGGATGGGTTTGTCTTTGCCTGAGGTGGGATTAATCCAAACAGTCTTTCCTAAAATACCTTTCATGTGTACCACAGGGACTTTGTCTCGATCCACTGTGTGCAAGGGTTCAGATTGGGCAGGACTAGCTCAACTGATGGACCCTCAGGTGTTGACCATCCAGGTGGCTTTTGCCAAGTCCAATTCCCAATTCCTGAAGGTTCCCCCAGCAAGTGCCTTCAGGGTAGTCTTAAGTAGCCCATTACGTTGTTCAACTTTCCCGGCAGCTGCTGCATCATAGGGGATATGATATATCCACTCAATGCCATGTTCTCTGGCCCAGGTGTTGGTAAAGTGGTTCATGAAATGGGTTCTGTTGTCCGACTCAATTCTCTCAGGGGTGCCATGTCTCCACAGGACTTGCTTTTCTAAGCCCAAGATGGTGTTCCAGACAGTAGCATCAGGCATAGGGTAGGTTTCCAACCATCCTGTGGTTGCTTCCACCATGGTCAGTACATAGTGCTTGCCTTGGCAGGTTTGGGGAAGCGTGATGTAGTCAATTTACCAAGTTTCCCCATACCTGTACTTCAACCATCACCCACCGTACCACAGAGGCTTTACCCGCTTGGCCTGTTTGATTGCAGCGCAGGTCTCGCAGTTGTGGGTGACCTGTGAGATGTTGTCCATAGTAAGGTCCACCCCTCGGTCACGGTCCCACTGCTATGTTGCGTCTCTCCCCTGATGACCAGAGGCATCATGGGCCCAACGAGCTAGGAATAATTCTCCCTTATGCTGCCAGTCTAGATCCACCTGTGATAATTTCACCTTGGCAGCTCGGTCCACCGGCTGGTTGTTGTGATGTTCTTCATTAACCCGACTCTTCGGTATGTGTGCATCCACGTGTCGAAACTTCACGGTCAGCCTCTCTACTCGGGTGGCAATGTCTTGCCAAATCTCAGCAGCCCAGATGGGTTTCCCTCTGCGTTGCCAGTTGGCCTTTTTCCAGTGACCCAGCCATCCCCAGAGAGCGATAGCTACCATCTATGAGTCGGTGTAGAGATAAACCCTTGGCCACTTCTCTCATTTGGCAATATCCAAAGCCAGCTGGACGGCTTTAAGCTCTGCAACCTGACTCGATCCTCCTTGTCCCTGGGTAACTTGTGCAACTCATCGTGTGGGGGCTCCATACTGCAGCTTTCCATTTCCGGTTAGTGCCTACAATTCGGCAGGAACCATTAGTGAAAAGGGCATATCGTCTTTCATTCTCCGGTAGCTCATTATATGGTGGGGCTTCCTCAGCACATGCGACTTGCTCCTATTCTACAGAAGATAATCCAAAAGTCTCCCCTTCAGGACAGTTTGTTATAATTTCCAGAATCCCAGGGCAATTCAGATTTCCAATATGGGCGCGCTGGGTGATGAGGGAAATCCATTTACTCCATGTGGTGTCGGTGGCATGATGTGTGGAAGGAACCTTTCCTTTAAACATCCACCCCAGCATTGGTAGCCAGGGGGCCAGAAGCAGCTGTGTTTCAGTGCCAATTAGTACTGAGGCAGCTTGAACTCCTTCAGAGGCGGCAAAGATTTCCTTCTCTGTGGGAGTGTAGTTTGCCTCAGAGCCTTTCTATCTCTGGCTCCAGAATCCCAGTGGTTGAGCCCGAGTCTCCCCAGGAATCTTCTGCCAAAGGCTCCAGGACAGAACATGTTTTCCAGCTGCAGAGTAGAGCATGTTCTTCACCTCTGGTCCCATCCTGACTGGGCCAAGGGCTACCACATGAGTGATTTCCTGCTTGATCTGGGTGAAAGCTTGTTGCTGTTCAGAGCCTCAGTGGAAATCATTCTTCTTGTGGGTGACCAGGTAGAGAGGGCTCACAATCTGGCTGGACTTGGGAATGTGCATTCTCCAAAAGCCTATGGCACCTAGGAAAGCTTGTGTCTCCTTGTTGATAGGTGGAGACATAGCGGTGATCTTGTGGATTACTTCTGTTGGGATCTGACGACATCCATCTTGCCACTTGACTCCTAGAAACTGAATTTCTTGAGCTGGTCCCTTAACCTTGCTTGGCTTAATGGCAAAACCAGCTTTCAGCAGAATCTGGATAATCTTCTCTCCTTTTTCAAAGACTTCCCCTGCTGTGCTCCCCCATACAATGATGTCATCGATATACTGTAGATGTACGGGAGCCTCGCTCATTTCCAGTGCAGTCTGGATCAGTCCACGGCAGATGGCGTGACTGTGCTTCCACCCCTGAGGCAGTTGGTTCCAGGTGTACTGCACTCCCTTACAGGTGAAGGCAAACTGAGGTCTGCATTCTGCTGCCAAAGGAATGGAGAAGAAGGCGTTAGCAATATCAATGGTCGCGTACCACTTTGCTGCCTTGGACTCCAGCTCGTACTGAAGCTCCAAAATGTCTGGCACGGCAGTGCTCAGTGGTGGTGTAACCTCATTCAGGCCACGGTAATCCACCGTCAGCCTCCATTCTCCACTGGACTTACGCACTGGCCATATAGGGCTGTTGAAAGGTGAACGAGCCTTGCTGACCACCCCTTGGCTCTCCAGTTTACAAATCATCTCATGGATGGGGATCACAGAGTCTCTGTTGGTACGATATTGCCGGCGGTGTACTGTTGCTGTGGCGATTGGCACCTGTTGTTCTTCAACTCTCAGCAGTCCCACAGCAGAGGGGTCGTCTGAGAGACCAGGTAAGGTATTCAGTTTTCTGACGTCTTCTGTCTCCACAGCAGCTATCCCAAAATGCCAACGACTTCCTTTTGGGTATTTGAAATATCCATTTCTGAGATAGTCTATGCCGAGGATGAATGGGGCCCCCGGGCCAGTCACAATAGGGTGTTTCTGCCACCCATTCCCAGTTAACCTCACTTCGGCCTCCAATACAGTCAGCTGCTGGGATCCTCATGTTACCCCCTAAATAGAAATGGATTCTGCTCCTACATACCTTGATGGCATCAGGGTACATTGGGCACCAGTGTCAACCAAAGCCGTATATTTTTGTGGGTCAGATGTGCCAGGCCATTGGATCCACACAGTCTAATAGATCCGATTGTCCCTGTCCTCTACCTGGCTAGAGGCAGGGCCTCTCTATTTCTGGTCATGGTACACATTGCTCTCTTCCTGTAAATAGGTTCCTGAGGTTCCTTCAAGAAGATCAGCCTATCATCATTCCTATATTGTCTGGAATTCTCTGTGCAAGAGACTGGAGCAGCATTGACTCTAGATGAGCTTCTTGTGTTGGGGGTTCCTCTTTTCAGTTCACGTATCCGGGCTGCTAAGGAGGAGGTGGGTTTTCCGTCCAACTTCCTCATGTCTTCTCCATGCTCCTGAAGGAAAAACCAGAGGTTACCTCATGGAATGTATCCTCTCTCCTTGGCTGGGGAATGCCAGCTCTTAATGGCAGAGAGTCTTGTTGGTTCTGGTGAGATGTGGTAGACTTCTTCCTTATGTTCCTTTTTCAGTTTCTGATGGCTTTCTTCAATCAAGCTCTGGACTTGCTCAGCCAATCTTGTTTTCATGGATGAGACATGGGTACGAAATGGGGCGGGGACAGTGTCCTCATAAATTCGTAGTTTCTTGACCAAGGCGCCCACCCTGTCCTCACCTTCCCTCCATTGCAGTGTTTCCAGGTAATGGGTGTACATCTCTGGTCCAAACCGTGCAAATCTCAACCACATTTGCAATATGCACTGGACACAATCTGGACTCTTAGTAATCTGTTGTCTTCTGAGAAAATTATCTCCAGCACAGCCAATTCTTTCAGGCATTGAATACCTTGTTCCATTGTGCTCCATTTTCCTTGGAGCACCTGGAGGTCTTCTTTACAAAGGTATCTGTCCCTCACACTTGTCAGCAATCTCTGCCAGAGGCTGAGAGTTTCTTGAGTTCTCCTGATCCCCTGGTCAATGACCACATCCCGGGACAGTGATCCCAGGTGCCTGGCCTCACTTCTATCCAGAATTCTGTCATTGGCTGCAGCATCCCAGATGCAGAGCAGCCAGGTTAGGGTGGACTCATTCGTCTGGCAGATCAATTCTTTCCTCAGGTCACACAGCTCACCCAGGGATAGAGAGCGGGTGATGATTTCTGGCTGTGTCTCCTCTGCTGGATGCGAAGGTCCTGCCGCGTCCTCATCAGTCGCTATGTGGATTGATTTGCCCTTTGATTTCTTCTTCTGAATGGGAGCAATTGCTACTGGTTCAGGCTGCTCTGGTTTGGTGACGGTTTGTGTGGAGAT